CCCCTAAGTAGCAATATGTTAAAGTGCTTTAACATCAATAACAACACTAAAATGAATAAAACTAAAAACGTATACACATGTACATATCGCACTCGCTCTTGTAAAACAAAAATTAACATGTAACGCTAAACTGATTGTTCTCCAATGTTACGTCCTGGTCCATGGATACGGTCGGGCTGTGGTGTGACGCAACAGTAAACGCGTCGTTTTCTATCGTCGTTCTCTCTTTACAGTGGACACGGAAGTCCCGCTGTGAGAGAGTTTGTTTATATTCGTCGACAGGTCAACGGCGTACGCCGATCTTACTCTGTCTAGCGAACACTCACTCGTTGGTCCTTTTTTAGATCTGAGACGCAAGTCTCATTTACCAAGGACGGGACCTAGCGATTTTAACAAGGAAGTGAGAGTGGGTAGTACGGAGAGAAGGATAACAAAGAATAACTCTTTAGTTTGATTCCACACATTATAAAGTAATTATATTTATTTAAAAAAAACAAATCAAAATCTTAGCAAAGTACTAACAGACAGATGTGTTGAAACTAATACAATGACGCGCATAATTGTTTCGTACAAAGTAATCTATAAGNTAAGGTGCAAGTGTGAGAGATAGGGGGAATACGAGTTGTTTAGTGCAGCCAGCCTCTTTAACCCATGTTTACGCACCTTAGACCATCTTAGAAATGTATTTTCTTATGTCAATTTACAAATTCGATTTTGTTTTATNTTTTAGGTTCTGATAGATTTAATGATAGNAATAAATTTGAATGTGTCATGATTCTAAGACTGATATTCGGAGATACTCGGGCTTTGTTTGTTTCCGTGATTTAGGGAGAAAAAAAAGAAATAATTCGGACGCCACCCGAAACGGCTATGCACCGTGAGTAGCTCTTCCAAAAAATTCAAATGCCAACCAAAACGGCTATGCACCGTGAGTAGCTCTTTCGAAAAATTCGAATGCCACCCGAAACGGTTATGCACCGTGAGTAGCTCTTTCGAAAAATTCGAATTTTTGAGCGCGTCTATCTATTTGTTTATTTTAACTATTTTTCTCGATTTCTTCGAAAATCAGTCGCAAAGTCGTGAGGTAAGTACACAAACAGTGGAACCTCCGAATGAAAATAATTACAATGTGGACTTACTATTTGCTGCGACCAGTGATGTTGATTACTAAAAGGTTCTAGGCTGTTGCGGGACAGTAGTTNACTCTGAGATTTCACATTCTGCACTCACTGTCACTCACTCACTCGCTGTGGTACTTCTAAAATCTGCGGCTCTATCTGCCTCTGATCCCAAAAGTCCCGGCTTATATACAATTTTGAGTAAACGAGGACTCTTCCAATCGGAAAACTCGGTCAAGCTTCGCTGGTTCTTATTTGTTGATTAGTTGGTCGGGTAAACTTCGTGAGATCGCCAATCGGCGACGATCCCTCGGCTCGGTCGGCTCGTCCGATTTTCCGGAGAAAGGAAAAGGGANAGTGTTGGTTTTTAATCACGCCACTTAGACCCTTTGCTATTTGTTTATAATAAAGTTTTCGTGGATTATTTGTGGCGTCGGAGTTCTATTTGCTCCGGGTGCTCTAATTTTTATGAGCGGTGTTTTTCCTGGCCCGGANATATCCGGGTTTGTTTAGGATGTTTAAACAATAAATTAAAAATTTTAGGTTATTACTAGGCGCGGTTTATCTTTTCGGGCGCCGATGTGATTTCCGTTTGCTCTCCTATCGTNTGGAGTCCTAGTCTCCAAACAATAGGAGGTCTGCTCGGATTATTTATTGCTTTTTAGTATTTGTTAAAAGGGTAATTTGTTATGCGTTGGCGCGTCGCGTTGCAAGAAAAAGGGACCCGTGGAGTCCTCAGGACGTAACACCAATAAACGTTTTTTTTNNAGATTTCTATAGTCTAGTCTGTGAATACTGGTTTCTCTTTTTGGAGCTGCTCGTCTCCGCATCTGATAGGCTAAATCCGTGTCCGGGTGGTGCTTCGACGGGTATGCTGCTCCCTGAAGTCGTCGATCGCAATGTTTGTGACATCAACTTGAGATAGCGGGTACATCCTTGAAGTCGACCTCAAGTATCCTCGCGTATTACACAACACGCACACTGATTTATCGTTCTGCCCGACGCGAGATAANCCGCAAGCAACAGAAGAAGCTGCTTGCAACATTGCATAACAAAACGCGTTATATCATTCATTATCGCGCCCTGCAACAATGTGTGCGACATGGTCTTTGTATTACAAAAATTCATNGCGTACTACAATTCGCGCAATCTCCATGGCTCCATCGCGAATTAAATGAAAACTTCTTTTGACTTTATTTAAATATAAAGTCAAATAAAAACCGACTCGATCTTTACTTATTATTCTGCCCAACGGTTTTTTGACTTTAAAACATGTAACGACAGTACACGTGGCACACTGCTCGACTCGACAACAGCTGATCGCTCGACTTTGAGAGATGATTTGGAGCTCCAGAAATAGTACACACACTAAAAATAATATGGCTTGCGGATTTCTTTATTTCGACATTAATATATATATTTAATTACATTGTCTCTTGGCTCCCCTTTACGGAGTTCGCGTTACAGTTCACAACATTTTTATGCGACCTCGACGAAACGGCAACGACACGACACGACTCTCTCACGACCACCTCGATCGCCGNCTGTTCCAAGAGTGTCTTTCCACTCGATCTTTCGGCAAAATCCGTTGACTTCAAAACTTCCAGAAAACCTACAAAACGCAAAACCGACCACGCGGTCTTCTGCGGTCTCACGCTCTCTCGGCACGCTTCCGCACGCGGGGGTGCCAATCGGCCAACCCCGACAAGTGATACCGCCACGCTGCTCATATCTTACATATCTTACAATACACAATTTCGAGCGCTCGCTACCACCGACTTCAAAAAAACTTTATACAAATTGATGCATAATGCGGTTTCTGACAAAACTATAGAAAATGTGCGTAAGTATATAGATATAAAACTTTTAACACAGTGGGATGAAAGATGTAACGATGCTATCGTTACGGCCGGAACTGACTATCCGTCCCGGCACAAAAACGGCGCCTAGCGCCGAATAAACCTTGTTAATTACAACGTGTATTTAATACACGCTGTATAGCGACAAATGTGCCGCCTGCGCCGCACATTCTCCACGTCAACAAGCGGTTGACGCCCCGCCCGCACTGCACGTTCCCCGTGCCGAGAAGCGGCCTGCGTGCCGCCCGCACCGCGCGCTCCCCGCGCCAACAAGCGAGTTGTGCCCGCACTGCGCGCTTTACCGCGCCACGAAACGCTAGCTGATCTATCGCCCGCACCGCGCGCCCCGCCGCGCCACAAAACTACATGCGTGACAACCAATTTGTTGTTTTCCCCGCATTTTCTCGACCCNGCTCCGCAAAAAATGGCGAGTATAAAGACCGGGCCCGAAATCGAAGTGTTCCGATCCGCTCCGATCTTCAGATTTATGAGAAGCACTTGGGGAAGCTCTTCCTCGGCCGGGTAAACCGACACGTGACTCGCAGATTTGCTTCGATCCGCTCCTTTCAGGGAAAAGAATTTCTCTCCGGGAAAATCNGCATCCGTTCCNCTCCGCACAAAGAGAATTTACATTCTCTCTGCCGGGAAAACTGACATCCGTTTTCCGCTCCTTCCGGGAAAAATTCGTATTCTTNGCCAGGAAAACCGGCATTCGTTCCACACCGGTGAATACTCGTATTTTCTGCCGGGCAAACNGGCATCCACCTTGCGACAAGGAGCGCAAGCTTCCGTTCCACCGGCCGTCGGTCGGCACTGATACGCCGAGACCAAGCGTCGCGGCGCTAACGCCGCGCAGCCGCCGCCGCTAGCACCGCTCCAGCGCAGGGCCGTGCTTTACAAGATCGGACCCGCCGCATAAGCAACACCATCGAAAAGCACCTACGTCGNTGCCCCTTATAAATATTTCTTATCTTTTTTTGTTTGGTTGTTTTTCACGGGGTAAATACTTTTTTTTATTTGTATTGTATTTGCGTTTTGGTTTGAATAAATCAAACGAATATTTTGTTAAACNAAACTACCCTGAGTCACTCTGAATTTCTTTCTCACGAAATCCTGAACCGACGAGNTACTCCGCAGCAGCAAAACAGCTAAAAGCAAGGTACCTTACGAAGTCGGACCGTTACAAAGATATGGTGCGGAAGCATTGATCTCCCGACTACATTTTCATAGTTGAAGTGTCTTTTCTGAAAATTTTATTGCACTTNANGTGCGTAAACTCAAAGTGAAATTTAACAAACCGATATACGTAGGAATGTGTATATTAGATATATCTAAGACGTGTGTGTATGAATTTCACCACGATTACATGGCACCTTTGTACCGAGAGAAATGCAAAATTATGTACACCGACAAAGACAGTTTTATTTATTTTATCGAATGCGAGGATGTGTACAATATCATGAAACGTGACATCGAAAGATTCGATACAAGTGATTATCCGGCTGATAGAGTGTATGTTATGCCACATGTCAACAAAAAGGTTCCAGGATTGATGAAAGATGAAAATAATAGTATGATAATGACTGAATTTGTCGAACTTAAAGCAAAAATGTACGCATTGAAAGTGGACAGAAAGAGAGACACAAAAAAGGCCAATTGTGTAAAGAGTAGCGTCCTAGCGCGAACATTAACGTTCGACGATTACAAGCAGTGTTTGAACGATGAAACTGAAAAGGTATGCCGACAGTCCTGTATACGATCAAAGTTACACGATCGAAGTGTATACTGTGTCCGAATCAAAACTTGCTCTAAGTCCGTACAACAATAAGCGTACCCGATTTTACTGGAACATTATCATGGGTCATATTATAAACTACCACAAAACCGTGTATAATATAGATTATGTGTATATTACCATTTAATATGTGTAATAACAATTATGTATATATGTTGTAAGTTATGTTGTAATTTATATAAATATAAATACTATATAGTGTGTTTACAATATAGTAGTTTTATCTATTCAAGAGTTGTATGTCTCGTTTAATTCTAGCCACTTCACATAAACTTTGTCACCTTTCTTGCGTAATACTTTTTCCACGAGATAAACGTCTGGATGTGCAACGCGATGCAGTTCATATTCGTAGAATCCTCCAGCAACAGATTGTGAATCCTCAAGCAGATACGTAACAGGATAGGTCGTTTGTATTTTACTGATTTTAAATACTTTGGTCGTCCAATTTGGTATATATCCTTTATTGAATAATGTTTTAAATTTGCTCACGCGTACTGGATTATCTACTTTGAATCGTGCTGGTCCTGCGATCTTAACGTTGCTGTACACCGTAGTTAAGAGCTCATCAGCAATTATGNGAGTAACATTGATAGGTCGCATACCAATAGTTCAATGTTTTCTCGCGTTTGTACTCCACAAGAAGACGCGGTAATATGTCGATCCATTTGTAGGTTCCGTTAAATGTAAATTGTTTCCACATGTTGTTCTCCAACGTACGGTTAAATCGTTCTACAANTGAAGCCTTCATAANCAAATATGTGAAATAACAATTGATGTTATGCTTCTTCATCAGTGTTTGTACACTTATATTATAAAATTCTTTTCCACGGTCAGTTTGCAAATTGTTTGGACATTGTTATCCCAAATTATTGCTGCAAAACCTTTGGCGACTTCGCATCCACTCTTATTCTTCAGCGGTATGGCCCACGCGTACTTGCTCAGCACATCGATGATACGACAACCGTAAGTATGTAATGGTAGCCTCTGGTGAAGCGCAAATACAGACACATTTCTACCACCCGCGTCTGATAACGCGTCTACGAGGAAAATTTCTTTTTGCTGAAGCATGCAATTCTTCTACAAGACGTTGTTTTTCGATTGTAGCATAATTCATCGCCATAGGTGTCTTACTATATGTTTACTCCGGCGTGTCAGTCATTTTCTTCTGGTTTGATAGATATTGAAATGTACGCTGAATGTGTTTTATAGCGTCGCGCAACGCTTGCACGTCTTGTTGCAATGCGATAATTTTTTTGTCACGTGTCTCTTGCCATTCATTCACATTCGTGACACACATATCTAAATATCATTTGTTGGCNACGTCAGTGTCGGTATCAGGTTGCGCTACATGCGGTATTTAACGCGATCTTGCATCGTAGCCGGAACCGACAAAGCAAAGANCGTTATTACGCACATAATTTCGCTGTATTGCCTTTCTCTCATAATAATACATCGACGCTTCATGCGTTCNAAACGATATTTCAAATTTGTTGATTGGCATGATGACACGCACACGAGTGACTNTAACGCTGACGCGCTATTTAATTTATAATGAGCTCCGCTTCGCGCAGTTCCTCGATGATCGACANGATTTTGTTGTCGTGAGCATTATTGCCCGCTTGACGGAATGCGTCTAGCAACCGCAGACGATCGACAAATTTATTGGGATCGTCCCAGTGTGCGTACTCGATTTTACGATCGCTTAGCGTCATATTACGCGGTATAACTTTCCCCTGATTAGTACGCACACTGGATATTAAAAATGCAATTAGGTATCTGTATGTGTATCCTTTGTTACC